CACATTCTCTTCAATTTCAAATTAAATCTTTTGCTACTTTTATTAATTAACACAACATTTAAATAAAAAACTAAAAAATTGTTATCCATTGAGAAGCTAACAAATTTTCATATCCTTATTAAAAATATCTCGAGTTATTTTGAGAGTATAACTTGACTCAATAAACACTTCAAACTGGCAAATGCTTACCTCAGCTTTGATAACACAACTCGCATAAGGTGACTGCTTAACTCCTTAAGCTTTCTGATCCGAAATAAATATTTTGACAAATTCAATACTTTTTTAGCAGAATGTCATGCAACTATGCTCTCAGGTTGTTGTTAAATGCAGGTCATCAAAAATGATGAAAAATGCCTTTGGAATACTAAAACATAACAAAATTAATGATTAAATTTCATTGATTCTTCAGAATCATCTATGAAATTGTAGTAAGGTCAGAGCTCAAGTAATTAAATTATTACTGAGGCAAATTGAAGCTTTTCAAACTCAACTAAAGATATGGAGAGAGAAAAATATGGTATCCACATATTAAATGGAAGCCTTACAGAATCATAACACCTGGGCATAACTAACAGTTTAAATTGGAAACTTCTCTATATAAGAATTTCTTAACAGATGCGTAACTCATGAACCAAAGTGGAATAACCGTTGAAATGAAACCAGAATCAGTTAAGCAAGCTTTGGGAAAATTCAATTTATCCATTAAAGTCTAAAAAAATTTGAAAAACAATATAATGCTTTTGAGCTATATTAAAATAACTGATTATGTTGAAATGGATCCAGAATTAGATAATCCAGCTATGGCTCAAATCTATTCTTCCATTCAACTTATTGCATCAGCAAACAATAAGAAATCCAGAAATGAAATCCAGAAATCCAGCATGAATTTTGTAACAGAAAACTTATAAAGATAATGGATGGATTCAAACAAAAAAATCTCTATTTCAAAGTCAGGACAGCTAAAAAGTAATGAAAAACCACAGAATAAGATTATGTATATTACCGTAAAATTTATACCATCAATTCTATCCATTTAGGATTTTTATCAACAAAACTTAGTTTTGAGAAAAAATTACTGTAACAGGTAATAACGACTTGTTTGCAATATCAAAAAAGCATCCTACAAAAATGCTTTTGATGCAAATAATAAATTTTCATATACATAATAAATTTTTAAAAAATCAGGAAGCCTTGAAACTACAATTATAGTGAATATGTGCATTTATGCACAAATTGCCTAAAACCATTGAAAAATAATCCAAATAAAAAAAATCAGAAGCAAGATAAAACACTTCTGGTTTCTTTGCAACTGTTGAAAATAAAGCGAGGCTGCCAAATAAATAATATTTAGAATCTAGTTGCAATACTCATATGACATTGAGAGAAACCTGGGTAAAAAATTAAAGACCTGATTGTAGTACCAGCAGTTGGAATGGGAACAGTTAATATTCAACTGAAATATCATGTTACACCATTAGTTATGCATGTACCAGACCTAATGATCATTTTTGAACCTTAAAAAGTAAATGATTTTTTACTTTAATAGATGAAAGATAAACCAATGAAAGGTTAAAAAAAAAATGAAACATCTACAATTGTAACGGCAATCAAAGAGAATAATCTAAATACATTAGATACCTTCAAAATCTCAAATTACCAAGAAAGGTAAGTCAATAAGATTTTTGCTCTGATTGATGTAAGGCGTGCACTGTACATAAATAAGATGTCAAAAATTTAACCATTTTACTTTTTGACCTTTCACTTTACTTTTTCAAACAGAATTTTTTAATACAAGAGAGAAACATTTGGAAACTTTAAAGATTTAAAAATCAAGTCAACAAAATCTAATTTCTCGGAATACATAATGGAGGATCATATGTAAACAATACCCAAAAACTGCTATAAAGTTTAATTAGTTACGAGACAACAATACCCAAATTATCAAAATATAACAATATATGTGATTATTCAAAGAGAACTTTAGGGTTCAAGAGAATACCAGGATTTTCAACCTTATTACGAAATAAAAGAATCAATAAGTAACTAAAGCCGTAACAGATATGACTTCTGAAGAAATAAATAATTTCTTCATTACTAATTTTTTTATGAAAAGCAGTGGTTCAAATTCCAGATGTCAATAAACGACATTGCATTTTCAACATGTACCTAATGAATTTTCATTGCTACAGCAAAGAAACAAGAGGATGCCAAATTTATAGTTCCCCACCATATGATGTCACCTTCATCAAAAATCAATTTGTTCATACTTCCCCTTAAGATGATTTCAGTGCAGCTGACTTATAAATGCTTAGGTATGGATGCAACCCAAATAAACATTTCAATTTCCCCCACAATACTAAAAATCAGACACTTCCAAAACAATCTCAAATGATGAAGATGAAAATTATTTTAAAGGTATAAATAGGTATGCCAGAAAGGTTACAGAACCTAATAGTAAATTTGTTTTAACAAAGACTCGTTTATGCATGAAGTAAAGTTTTGTCAAATGCAAGATCCAGAAGCTTATAAAGCAGCCACGCACTCTTACAGCTTAGAAATAGTAGGCTGCTACAGATGAATAAATTCAACCACATAGGAATTAAGTGGATATATTTTTTTATAAGAAAACAATAAAAATAGATGGATGATGAAATGAAATAGTGAAATCGAAAGACATAAGGTGAAATTTAATTTGAAAATGATATTCTAAAAAGTATGGAACATCTATTGCAGAATGGTTCTGTGAGGAATGGTGTATTGAATAGAAAGGTCTTCTTTGATAATAATCAGATTTAATAAGTATAAATAATATAAATAAACAATAGTGGTGTGACATTTGTTTGGCTTCCTATAAGCCTTCCATTTCAATATGTTGCTTAACGCACAACTGGTATACAATCAGAATTATTGTAAAAAAATATAGTGCCATCTGTTGATCAGGTGGAAATTCGTAACATCTTCATCGACAGTCGGAAATCACCCCATCAGCTTTCTCATTGTTCAAGCAGTTAAATTAGATTTAGATCAATAGGATATTATAGTTGAATATTGATTTAAACAGAGCTTGATGAAAAATCAATATCGAATGTCTTAGAAACTTCTCATTTTTTATAAACTAATTAATCCATCTAAAGACTAAAACAGGTGAACCATAACTTTATTACTGATACTTTGAATCAGCAGAAACATGAAATAAAAGTGATACCTAGATAATAAAACTTAATCACCAGGGCTGATACTTGCATTTTCTACACAAACCAAAATGGAAATTATGATTAGTAGCATTATAAGTAGATAATGCGTTAATCTTATTTAATAACAACAAGCAAAATAAATAAATAATCTCTTCAGGGTCTGAAATGATATTTTCCTGAATTAGAGAATTATATGGCGGCCATGAGATACTTGGATTGCTCATCGCAAGAAACTACAAGAAAGGTACAATTAGTTTAGACCAATCGAGAACATGATAACACAATTCGATCTGAAAGACTTAACGAAATAAAACTCCTTTTAAGACGACTATTCTAATTAATCATATGGGTGCAAAATGAAAAAGGAAAGTAAAAAATAAAAAAGAATTCCTTACAAAGATATGCTGATGGAAGTTCAAACTATGCAACAGTAGCAACACTAGGTAATATAATACATAGAATCAGAATAGTTTGTAATATGCAAACCTCAATGGAAGCCAATCAAAAGAATCCAAAAGGTTTACGATCTCAAAAACTAAATTTTACCAGAGAAGAAATTTCAAGACTTAATTACTGATGACCAAGACAATTGAAAATCATGAACTGAATAAAAAAAACTATTGCTAGCACCAAGAACTTTAAAAAATTATAGCCTTATAAACAGCCATAAGCAGATTACATGCTTAAAATTACTGCATCATTAAAATTGATATGGATACTACAACAAAACAAGAATTATTCGAGTTCATTTAACAGACTAGAACAATTGAATAGCTTAACAACAATATGAGTGCTAGCAAAATAAGTTCCAAGCATATGTTTTTCAACTTGCATGAAAAAATAAGAGAGATTCATCGCTACTTTATGACAGAAAAAAATGAATAAGGACAGATATAAATAATTTGAAAAGAAGAGTTGCAGTCATTTTGTTAAAACTTGTGATCAATAAACAGATTGATGTAATAGAATATTTCTAATATTAATATGAAAGGCTTTGAGAATATCGATCCTTCAAATACATTATCTAACCTTCTCAAAATTAAATTTAGGAATATCAGCATACTATCTGCTTTGTAAACATTTATTGCTTTAACAATGCTAAACTAACAGGTATTTACATTTAGAAGAAGTCTAAGACTTTGATATTTGAACACAATTAACACAGATTTTAAAAAAAAATTGTGAAATTGATCTCTCAAGATCTAGTAACAAAGAGAATTGTATAGAGAAATGTTCTAAAGAAGGGGAGAGCACACCCTGAGTTGGCATGCTAATGATAGCGAAAAATAGCATTTGTCATTCAGGCTTTCAGTGTTTTTCAAATTTTAAGAAAAAAAAAATCCATCAGACTAATTTAATGGCTCTTTCCCGGTATTTTATATTGCTTTGTTCTGTTAGTACTGCTCAATTTTAGCAACGTATAATTAATTGCGTGACAAATTAAAACCCTAATTCTACTAAATTTCAAACAAACATGTTCAACTTGAAATAGGTTTTCAGATTCAAACAGCAATTGTTTGATTACGTTATTTTGGTAAAACATAATTATTAACTCACAAAAAAAACTTATAACTCAACACTTAATTCATTCTTAAGGAAAACTACACTTAACTCATACTTAAGGGAAACTTAAAATCAATATTACACAGAATTACAGCAAATTTCTTGAACTTGCACCGTTAATTTTGCTCACAATACTCTTTTTACTCCAAAATTTAACTCAATATTTTCTCTGCTTTAAAAATAAATACATAGAAACAATACTTTCATAATATATTTCAATAATGAGAACATATAGAGAATAACATTAAATCTTATCTGTTTAGAATCCAAACTGGACATCAGAAAAGTCTGTTTTAGCACAAATCAAAATATTGTCCACTATCTCAGATAACAGTACAACACAGATAAACAAATACTAATTTTTCAACTCACAGTGTCACAATTTAGTTTAAAATTCGTTTTATCAGAAACATTTCTTTAAAATTCCGCCGGATTTTCAACAAAATAACAAACATTTCGTTAAATTTGAATGCGGCAAGTTTCAGAGCTTTATGCGGTGTTGCTTATAGCTTGTATAAAAGTAACCAATTATTTGAGTATGAAACTACAACGAGTTTAGTTGCAAAAATTGGTGAGCTAAGCATGGTTTGTTTGCTGCAACTCACTATTTCTGAACTTAGCAAAAATAAGCAGTGTTAGCTTTGTCATGGTAACAGTGAATAAGCAAACCAAACTGTGCCAAGCGAAAACCACATGATATTTTGCTCTCATTCTCATTCATTTTTTGGTAGTTGATGTCAGAAACAGCTGTGAAGGAAGATTTCTAGCATATTTATTTAGTTGCTATGCAACGTGAGATGCTTATTCATTAGTAAATAGATAAAGAACACTTTCTCTGTCCCCAAGACTATGTTGCTTTAAGAAAATATTAACCAAACAGATTTTTATTAACGTTTCAATTTCTTTCTAGATCGCTTATTTTTGTTTGCTTATTGTATAGTTTTTTTTTTCTTAAAAAATTAATAATTACAAAAGTTATTAGCATTACATTAATGCCATTTTATGATAATTCTTCCTGAATCACGTCGATATTAGAGAGAAAAATTTAAATTTGAGTTTTCAATTATTATTGGACACTGTTTCAGTTGAAAAACATTTAAAATATGCTGAAAACTTATGTTCAATAAAACAATTACTAATAACATAAATAAATAAAATTATTTACTCACTATCTTGTGAAAAAAAATCTTCTCACAGCGAATGTTGGAATGCTGAGAAATATTAATTTTTTGTTTTACACGAGTTGACTACAAAATTGATTCGAATAAAAAAACAAAAGTTTTTCACATAACACTTTTTTAAAGCAATCCTTTTAAAAAGTGTTAAATAATACTTTGTTCCGCGGGCCTTAAAAAACGTATTACCACAGCATTACAAGTACCGATAACCAAAATACATGCAGTACCTATTTCCACAATTAATTAAGCATCTCTGTAGTCAACAATATATTGATGATTATTTTACGACTGCAAAAAATTTATAAAATACATATTTCTATTATTATCACAGTTATTATTAATAAAAAATTATTGAGAAATATTTAGAACTTATCTTTGATAAAATTTTTGTCTTGTATTGTTTGAAATTGTCAATTCTTTTTTACCATTTTCTCTTGTATGATTAAGCAATATTTCTTTGGGAAAATGCTAAATAAGTTTATTCTCAATTTACAGCTTTTAATTACTGATTTTGTAATGATAAAACTAGCCGGAAAAGTATCTGCAATACCTGCTTTTTAAGTACCGTTAAGTACTTTGTGATTTTTAAGAAGAAATGAGCTGTCATTTCCTTCTAAAAAATTCAATCATAAGAGAAGAAGATGAAGTAGCTTCTTAAGTCTTCAAAAAGGCTTTTAAACTTTTTGAATTATGTTTAGATCTTTCAGACTGCCTCTTGTACAATAAACTAAGCAATTTTAATGTTTATGCAAATTTGAAAGCAAGAAAAAAATTAATTTTATTTTACCTCTCTTCCACTTTTATCAAACTACTGTACGAAGACTTATTGTTGTACAAAATTGAATTTTACCAATGCTTCTATTAAATTTTACTATCTATAAATATATTTAGCTACATTCATGGGTATTTTTTGTTACATTCATGGCGAATTGGCACGCACTTTTAAGTATAAAACAAATTTAAAATTATTCATTTTTTAAAATGATTTCATTTCAAAAAATTATGAAGAATTCGCAAAATATCTTCTAAATTTGGAATGTATTAGACTAAAACTACTTGGTCAGAAAAAAAAACTTTCTATAAGTATTTCTGAATATATATGTGCATTTTTTAACAAATTGACTAACATACTCGTCCTTTTTTTTTAACGCTCTATAAAAACTGACTTAGACTGAAAAAACTCGTTATTTCTATAAATATTTTAGTTGATATGTCTAAACATTTTTTTCCCTAGTAAACCGAGCCTCAAATTTTACTATAAATGATCTATTGCAAAATTTGATTAAAAAAAATTACATAGTGTTTTCTATTATACTAGCGATCCTCTGAATGTTTCGCACGAAATAAACTTTCTTAAAATTTTCTTTAAACTATTCTAGACAAATTGACGCTCTTTTAGTATAAAATCAATTTTAAATAGCTAAAAATTAAAAAAAAAAGAACAAAAAGAGTCCTCTTTTATTTTAGCTATATATATACATATACACAGGGCCTGATTTATTATAAGGACTGAGAGGCCCGGACTTAGGGTCCCCTCATGTCTGAGGAGTCCCTAAATGTTGCAAATATTTTCTGTCTGTGTTTTCCTTAAAAATTATGAGTTAGCAAAAATTGAAATAAATATATATAAGCTCCGATTTACAAATACATTATAATTTACTTGAGTAAATTATAATATGGTTTTGGTTAATGACATTTTTATGCAGTGATACTTCTCGATAAAACTTTTATAAAAATCATCTTTTTAAATATATTTTTAGGAAAAGCACTATTTATAAAAAAAAGAGTATCAACCTTTTTTTAAACTAATTCAATTCAATTTAAGTTACATAATCACTTACTAATTTTCTTCATTTCCAAAAATTACAGTATGATCTTGTTAAATTTAAAAAATAAAGGAAGAAAGAACTTTTTCACACAAGTTTGTTGAATGTTTATTTCATCAATTGTTCATTTTGTATTTTTAAAATAAAATAAAAAACTTTTTTGCGTGCATTATGCTTTTGTAGCTTACAGAAGTTAAATAATATTTTATTATTTCTTATACTTTAAAAAGATACTCAATAATCTCGTGAAACCTAATTTTTATTCATAAATTCGTTCTGAATTATCTTTTGTTTCATGGGGTGATTTCATGAAATATTAAATAATTATAACCATATTTTTTATAAATTATGCTATTTTAAAGATTTATATATTTTTTTAGTTAGTTAAAGAAATTGGTGATTTTTAAAAAAAAAAATACCTAAGATTATTTTAAAATAAAATTTTGTGAGGAAAAATTCATTTTAATTGAAGATTCATTTCATGTAAAAATCTTTTTTAAAAAAATAAATAATGAAATTAACTTTAAAAAAATTCCAGAAATATTTCTTTACATAAATATGTATTTACTAACAGATGAACGCTCATTTTTAAATGTAAATTCTCATAATAATTTTTAATAACTAAATTCAAAAATAGTTTCTGTGAGGCTCAAATTTCAAAAAAAAATTCACAAACTGACCTAAATTTCCCTTATTTTAGCGATGCTCTAAACTTCGCATGTTTTAGACTAGATAAACTTGAAATTTTCTATAATTATATCTCCATATACATATAGGTACTTTCTAGCAAACTGGCTTACTCTTTAGCATTAAATATTTTTTAAATAATTAGTGCATGGCTAAAAAATTATAATAAAAAAATATGCAAAGCATTTTCCTTTGTGCTAGCTTTAAATATACTCTGAACTATTAGCATGTTTTGGACTAAGCAATTTTTCAATTTTCTTTAAATATTTATTCACGCATATGGGTATTTATCTAGCAAATTAACACTCATTTGTTAATATATTTCTAGTTTCAAATGATTTCTGCAAAGTTAAAATTATGAAAATTTTTTTAAGTAAATCCTCCCTAAGGTAAGTTAATACTCTAATCTGGCAAATTTTGAATTAAACAAACATTCTTAAAAAATTTCCTTAATTATTAATGAACATATCTGAATATTTTCTAACAAAATGGAGCTTGCTCTTTAGTTTAAAATAATTTTCAAGTGATTTCCATATAGCTAACAATTTAAAAACGTGCTAAGTGTCACTCTTTAGCGAGTATATACTCTGTAGTTAGCATATTCTGTACTAAACAAACTTTTTTAAATATTTCTTGCTTATAAAGAGGACTCACTTCTTATATATTCTGTTCCAAATGATTTCCCATTGTTAAAAATTAGAAAAAAAATTGTAAAATATCCTTCTGTATGTTAGCGATATTCTGAAGTTTGCTTGTTCTGGACAAAAAATGTTTTTTTAAAAAACTTTTCTGTAGAAGTTTTCTAACAAATTGGCAATCACCTTTTGGTATAAAATGATTGTCAAGTGATTTCCACAAGCCTAAAAAACTTAAAATAAATAATTTGCTAAGTATCCTCCTTTATGTAACCAATATATGTGTGTTTAGGACAAAACAATTTTTTAAAATTTTTTTCTAAAAACCTTAATTGCCATTTATACTTATTTTCTAACACTTTGAAAAATTCAGGTTTACTTTAATTAAAATAAAGTGATTTACAAATGATTTCTGCTTTGCAAAATTTAATATCAAAAAATTCCTAAAGTGCTCTTTCTATGTTATCGATAATCAAAATGTAAAATTTCTTGGATTTAACTTTAAAAAATATTTTGAAATGTGTCTATTTTATCAACAAAATTTAAAGGGCAACTTTAAGTGTATTAAGTCCTGGTAGTTTTAACAGTTACGGTCGATGAAAGTTAAGTAACTATTTCTTCTCTAGAGATTTAAGAAATGTTTTTTTTTTTTTTTTTTTTTTNTTGACATGTAAGAAATGTTTTTTTTTTTTTTTTTGGAAAAAAGAAAGATTTGTGATTTGAAGAACTATGTCCATCTTTCTTCTTAAGAAATAAACATGAAAACCGAAGGGCGTATGGAATAGAGTTATGAAACAAGTCAGGGCCCACCAAGGGCTGTAGAGCTATAGAAAAAGAAGTAAACATTATAATCTTAAAATCTATACGCAACTTCAACTCTGCCAACATAATGCAAAACATTTTTAACAAAAAAAAGGAAGAAAAAACTTGACTATAAGATGTTAACACTTAGTGAATCAGGGTTATCAAGAAGTTTTACTTTATTTATATCGATTTGATGTCATTACAATTTTAAAAAGAAAGAAAGAAAAAAAACTAAAGTTGTTAGTTTATAAATGAAAAATCATGTTCACATTAGCTCATAAAAGACATAGGTTTGTTTATGCTTAATGCTGTGGTATTGCTTTTATGATGTTTTGTTACTTTTATATATATGTGGTATTGCTTTTATGATGTTTTGTTAC